TCTGCTGACCCTACCTCCGCTGTTCCTGTATTCTGCAGGTCTTTCACATACAAACTAAATAGCCTTATGAAATGGTTTCAACTGTTCAGGCCGTAGAAGAGAATTGTGGGCATTTCTAAAATGCATGTATTGCATAGCAATATGGTAGCAGCTCAAACAGGAAATGAGAACGGTATCCTTGATATCCTTCGTATGACTGTTCAAAAGCCTTTAGCATATATTGAGGCATATCTTAGATCTGATTTACATATCATTCATATTTACATGGAGTATTTTAAATCTGAAGTCATGGCCCTCGTTCATAGATTTATGGGTATACTATGGTGCACTGTAATAGGCAGAGGTCAGACTACGTGAAATTTTTCCACCATCGCTAAGGGTATTAGACAGAACAAATTAAGGGTAGGTTTAGCCAAAGATAAAACAGAGAGAAATTTGCTCCTTTGTACCCCCTTCTTTCTGTTATTCCTATCCTGGCTGTGTTTACAGAGAATGAGTGGCGGGATCTCCTCAAGGCTCCTTCTCACACACAGGCTAGGAATTAGTAGAGGAAGGAAGAGGAGAAACTGAGTTACCTTTTGAAGAGCTGTGGACTGCTGCTTTTGGTCTTAAAATCTCCAAACCTACGAATATTAGCTATGACTGGATCACAAAGATGGGATAAGCTTCAGCTGCCCCCACCTGCCTGTGATTTAAAATTGTTACTTTATATATTGTATCTTACAGAGTATATGCTGGACATAATAATTGTGGGGTGGGGTGGTTTCTTTCTTTGGGTTTTTTTTTTTTTACAACCTAATGCCTTGAGATAATCAAGACTAAAATCAAATCTTTCTCCCTATGAATGGAGGAAAGTTCTTGAATTTCTATTGATATTGAAGCTTCTACATATATCACCATAATTGTCGTTTGTTCAGCATTTAATGTTACCTTAATTTTGTGGGAAATTCTCAGAGGAGATGATGTTCAGTGCTTGCTTGTAGGGGTTTTATAACAATCCTGTGTTTTTCTATTAATTAAAGTAGCCCCTTTATTTAGGGATTCACTGTAATAACTAGACTTATGAGGAAAAAGTATTACTATAGTTACATAATTTAATTAATGTTTTTACCTCTTATCCTGTTAGCTGGCAAAAGACATGTCGGCAGCAGCGGTGAGATGCATCAGAAAAGAAATCAGAGATCTTTACATTAACATCCAGCCTGTTCGAGAACCTGATGATCAAGCCTTTGGGACTGGAAGTGGAATAATGTAAGACGAGCCCAAACTTTCTATTGATACCTGTAACCTTGCTGGTTGATTAGCCAGATCTTGATTACATACGTGGTAAATAAAGTGTAATGTGAGTGCTTTTGTTCTTAATATTGATTCTGGTTTTTCTGCTTAGCGTTGTTGCAGAGACTTCAACAGGTTGTTTATTAGCTGGGTCGTCACTTGGCAAGAGAGGTAAGAGTTCCATGAAGTACACCTCTTTCAGATTTAACTTAATGTACTATTAACAAATAGGAATCTGAAGTACAATCTACTTAAAGATCTGATGCTTTGAGTGTTGCATTTTTAAATGGATGTTGTTAGTAATAAGGGACAGTGGAAGTGAGCAGATTTTAAACGTAGTAAATGGAATCTTACACTTTGTACTAAGCTGCTTCTGCATAGTAACAAAAACTACAAAATTATTATGTTCACCTTTTATCAGAATGGATTCTTCAGGATCACTGAGTTGAAAATGCTTCTCTGGCTTTAAGAGCATACAGTCTTGCGTTTACCTGTGAAGTTTTTGTTCAACAGTGAATCTAGATGTGTATCTAGATTAAAAGGAATAGAAGTGATTTGGGTTTTAAATGGTTTGAATAAAATGTTTCTCTGTGGGGCTACTGTCTTTGCACTGCTTAGGAAGTATGGACTACATATCATAAGATAGGATGGGTTTTTAAGCAGACATTTGAGGCAAGAGCATGGAAATAAGGTTTAAAAAGTTGATAATTTCTTGATTTTTTTTTTTCCCTTCTATATTTTTAAAATGTTAATAACTGGCAGCATCCTAATCTCCTGAATTTCTCTGTTAGGAAAGAATTCTGACAAGGTTGGCATTGAGGCAGCTGAGATACTGCTTAGGAATCTCAAACATGGTGGAACTGTGGATGATTCTCTCCAAGACCAAGTAAGGCTCCTGTATGTGTTTACACAAAGTTGAAGTAGCAAGAACGTGCATGTGTGTATTACTTGTAAAGAGTATAAATCATGGTGATGTTTGTAAATCAAATCAGTTTTTTTTAAAAAATATCTGTTTGGCGAATATGTGATCAGAAAGTGTTAGAATTAAAAAAAAACTCTTCCTGAGTTTTTCTCTCCATAAAGGTAATCTACCAATCTGGAGCCTGACATGACTTCGGGGAATTTTGGGGTGGGAGGGTGTGGGAGAGCAAAGGTCAATGTGGTAACAGGAATTCACTGTGGAAAAGTAGCAGCCCTTCTGTAATCGGCATTACAGTAGTAATTTCCAAGCTTCTTGAGCCTTGGATCACTCTTAACAGTCAGCATCATGAATGTCTGAAACTTGGCAGACCACATTTTTACATCCACAGACATTTTGCCTGGTTTTCCTTCTTTTTTTTTTTTTTTTTTTGTTTTTTTTGTTGATCAATACATTCCTAGGATCTGAAGAGTTACTTAATAATTACCTTTCCCTCCCTTTCAGCTGATCATTTTTATGGCGCTAGCAAAGGGGGTGTCTAGAGTGAAAAGCGGACCAATTACACTTCATACTCAAACAGCTATACACTTTGCAGAGCAGCTAACAAAGGTGAGTCCAAAAGCTCAGAAAGTTTTGCCTATCGGTTGTCATCCAGTACCTAGGCAAGGTACAGTTTAGTAGGCATTGTGAACCGAACTTGATCATGGAGGACAAGCATTGATAAAATAATTGCTACAATATTTATATGGGAGTTTACCTGTACAAAGTGAACATATTTTAGAGTTAAATGCCTTTAGAATGGTTAGATACTTTTACTGCCTGTATTTAAATGTTTTCTAATGAAATCAGTCAAAGCTGTAATATATGTAAACACATGGCAATATGATTATTGGGCATCAGATATTGAATATTTGAACTTAGGTATGTTGTAACTTAATTAGTGATACATTTCTAATCCTGTTTTAGGCCAAATTTACTTAGGAAGATCCCAGTAAAGATACCTACATCATTGAGTGCCAAGGAATGGGGATGATAAACCCAAACCTATAGGGTTTAAAAAAAAAAAAAAAGGAAGCAAAAGCAGCAAGCTGACAAAAGCAAAACTCAACATACCTCAGTGATGTATTGCACTACATTTCAATGGTGTATAATATGCATGTGAACAGGAGGAGCCTTCTGTCACATCTGAGAGATTTAACTTCAAGGATGATGTCGAGTTTTTCCTTGGTGTGCTGAGAATCTGCGGTGTGAAAAATGGAAACTTTTGGTTTTTTTTTTTTTAACTGTTAGCAGCAAAATGAGTACAGACAGGACAGCCAATAGAGTACATTGTATGTATTTGAGAGCTTCAATTAGAAACTTTGAAAATTCAGGTTCACCAAAGTAGAAAAGAACTCTTTCAGTTTTGGAAAAAGTACTGATACATTCTTTTCCGCTTTAAAAAAAAAAAATGTAAGTTTTCTTCTTTGGGAACCTTTATATTATGAGGCATATGGAATGAAGTGCACCATTAAATCTGTATCGCTGTTCTTCCTTAACCATTTTGCTTAAATTGTGTGTGAGGAAATAATAAAGCAAATCAGCATATGAAAGCCTGGTATTTATATTTGCTGTTAGCTCAGCAGGTTGTGTTAGTGGGAGGTGGATCCAAAGTAATTTTTCAGAAGCATAATTTCTTTCTCTCCCTACAGATAGAACACTCAATGCATACAAAAATCTTCTTTTAAATCTTCTCTTTCCATCTATTTTAAAAAAAACCTTCTCAGGCAAGCTAAAGCAATGTAGCACATTCGTGGTGGTGCCTGCCCCCCTCCCCAGCCTTTTCTCTCTTCGACTGCTTTACGGCCTCAGGAATTCCTGCCAGACCGTGGCCTTGTGTAGCAAGCTGGTCAGTCAGGCGCCCCTGAACTGTACCAGAAACTCCTACATGGTTGACGCGGAGAGCAGCCCTGTCCTTATCAGAAACTCCTACACGGCTGAGGCGGGCAGCAAGAGCGATCACTTGTCCCCTGACAGCCTTGAAACACAACCGACTGGAGCGGGACCATCCTTACTGGAATCCCAGCAATTACCGACCCGGATTGCGGCTCAGATGGAAATTTACTGATGACTAAAGCCAATCCTCTCACGATCCTATAAACAGCCGTCCTACGTGAGGCCCTTTGAGCTCTCCGGGACTGCAGCGGCCGCACCAGCACCTCCCTGTGAGCGGGACGCCTCTCGGAGCCAGCAAGCTCGTCGAGCTTGCGGAAATCGGAGGTCCATTGCCAGAGAGCGACAGTGGAGCCTGGGCTGAAACTCTTCACTCCTCGAGGCTCAGCCGTGCCTGCTGAGAAATGCCAAGGCATTCGACATGAGTATTTCACTGAACTCGAGGGGAATTTTTAACAGGTACACCTTTATATTTATATGCATATATATAGATATAGATATTCATGTCTGTGCGTAGTATGCATGTGTAAATCAGTTTAAGTAGTCTGTAGATCTATGATTTAATTACAAGGTGAGTCTTATCCTGCTGCTAGATATATACATTTATATTAGCCTTATTCACATAAACCATTGCCCACGTCTGAGACTAAGAGTGGACCCAACCGCACCCAGACTCCTCTCTGAGAAGGAGTTTGGAAAGCAAGGGGGTCTGTTCTGAACCTCGAGACTCAACGGGAGGGTCCTCCTCACCCCCTGCACCCACAATCTCTCTGTGAATCATTCCAACTCAGTGTAACCTAATTCCCCTTTGTGCACTTCTTCCATGTAGTAACAGCAAACCTTGCCATCTTTGAATCTGTAACTAAGTCGCTGCTTTGATCAATTTTGTCTAATCGCTTTGTTAATCGACTGATGATTGAGTGCTATTAAAATATCACAACCAAATCCTGCGATTTGCCACAAGTAAATTCTAAACTGCTACTAAATCAAACTGCGTCAAGTCACTCATTCATGACAAATTAAGAGTCAGCAGGATTCACAAATCTGCCTTCACGACGACATTACATCCCAAACTCCAAATATTAACTTTATGATATGACTGGATTTTCTATCTACAGTTGTCCTTGTTAGCGTACTAACTGGGTCTACATTTTCACCAAGCTGTTGTTGTTTGTTCTTTTTAAAGGGAGTACTTCATTTCGGCTGGGATTAGGGAGCTGTTGAACACACATACATACGCACAGATACGCCCGTGCACATACGCTGAGCACTGCCTATAGACACAGGTGTATTTGGGTGTATAAAATCCAGTTGCGTTATCCACCGTCTGTGGATTAAGTACGGAAGATCTTCTGCCCATCTGGCCTTGATTGTGCTACAAAAGGGTTTTCTGAAGTGAAAGGAAGAGAAAAGGAGAGATAGGGCGTAATTTGTTTTGCATATGAAGAACTGAGTCACGGAGTTGGAATCGCTTAACCAAAACTCTATAAATGCACGCTGGAATCTTGAGGTGATTTCCAGGTTTTCCACAGCCCAGTCTGCAGCCTTTGCTCTAAGATCTTTTTTCCCTCGGTTGTTACTATTGACCCTAACAGCTGAAGATGTATCGCTTGTCTTGCTTATTGAGATAATTGCATTACTGTGCATTTCTAACACGAAAAAAAATCATTCGCCGATACACAAAAACGTTCACCAACTATCTGCTTAACAATATCTTTCTTCTTAGGGTTCTTCCCCTTTCTCCACCCAAAAACTAGCGCACCAGAATGGGATGCTATTCATTTCTGACTAAATAATAATTCTTTAGTAATTTAAATAATTTGATAATTCTCTAAGACTGGGAATGGTCTGAAGAGGGCAGCAGACACCGCTGAAGCGTGTGCGTAACAGGGGTACTCGACTGCCCTTGCAGAGCACCTCTCAATTACTAGCCTGCCCTGCTAATGAGTTTCAGTGTTTCCTGGAAGAACTCTGAATGTATTTAAAAAAAGGAAACAAAACCAAAACCAAACTTGAAAGAAAGCTCCCCAAAGAGTTTGTGCTTAAGAAAAACGAGCTTTTCTAAACCATGATTGAACGGCTCTTTACCTGTTTCCGTGATTCATAAAATTAATACACTTGACTAATTTAACTTCTGATGGAGAGATTCCTGCTTGAAGGGATGGCTGGGTGTGATTTAACGCAACCTCCTGATCAAAGCACCACTAACGTAGAAGTTTTATCAGGTTGATTAGAGCCTTGTCCAGTCAGGTTTTGAAAATTCTCAAAAGATGGAGGTTCCACAATTTTTCGGGGCAACTTGTTAACAGAGCTTGACCACTCCCAGAACTGATATTTAATGTGAGCAGGCCAAAGGTTAAGGCTTTTTGTTTGTTTAGGTTTTTTTTTTTTTGGGGGGGGGGCTGTTTGCTTGTTTCTTAAGCTGAGGGACTGCTGCTCAAGTGGAAGTTACTTCTTGCTACAGGAAACATATTGTGAGCTCAGCAGTATACCAGTTCTTCACTATTTCTTCAGAAGAAAACACGGCAGAAGCAAAGGATATAATCAGTTCTACCTTACTCAGAAGATTTCTGGTACGTGGGAAACACTCGGGTTGCTCGGGCAGCTGAGAACAAGGCAGCTTCAGTAAGCCCTAGAACTAAGATGATAAAACCAAAAATTTATTACAAATAGTTACATATCCTTGCTGAAAATTAATACAGAAAAGCATATTGAAAACAGTTTGTAACCTACGTAGTTAAAGTATTCCTTTTTGTTACCTTTGAAGTTCAATCATTGGATTCTCTCTAATATCTTTTTACCAATATCCAATCAATTTTCACAGAGCACAGGCAATTAAATTTACATTTTATTATGCAATTCCAACATCTGTAGAAATTATGCTCCTCGAGAGATAATAAAATTGACATCCTTTGTACCGTTATTCAAAGTGAGCCAACATTGCCTACATCTTTATAAATGACAAGCCAGAACTAACGCCTTCCCTTTAGATTTTAAACTCTCTAGCAAGTGCCTTACACACTTGGCCTTCCTGCCCTGTAATCGCTGCTTCACTTTAGCAATCAGTGACCCACTTTCTTGCCTAATAGATTCTTTCTGGACTGTAGGCATACTTAGATGTTAATGCCTAGATGGTTTAAAGACTAAATAAATCAGCATAACTAGCTCCTGTCATGTTAAGAAAACCTTATGAATAAAAGCACAGCTAAAATTAAATCTTTTAAATTTAGGCAGGCTTTTATACATTTGTGCACATACACATACTGCATTATGTATGAAAAATAGGGTAAGCTTGAGTGTGATTTTGTATCTGGTCTCAAAGGCCGGCTGGAGTACCTTCTCATAGCTTTTGCATAGCTTTTCTTTGCTTCTGAAAAACCATGCCAGTTTGCACACCTGAGGTGTTCTTTGCGGTGCTAGAAAAAAATCTTCCCACATTCATAAATGCCCAAGACTGTCTTGGAATAATTGCAGCAAATGAGAAGAGCTAGCGAAACCTTGAGAGAACAATCTCAGTTTAGAATTTCTAGCTCTATCCAACACTTCCTGGAATCAGGTCTATGTAAGTAAAAACTTCTTTCGGAAAGAATTTAAAAATGTGCAGGTTTTTTCTCTAAGGGGAAAAAAAAATCAACAAAACAAACTTCAGTTGAACAAAAAATTCCCATTAAAAAAATTGAAATGCAATTCCCATCTTCCAAAGAGACATAGAAAAGCATGTAAATGCTCAGCCAACATATTTAACAAAGATTAACAAAACCCAGGTGTCCTGGTTTCAGCTGGGACAGAGTTAATTTTCTTCCCAGCAGCAGGCACAGCGCTGTGGTTTGGATTTAGGATGAGAGTGATGCTGATACCCCCTGATGGTGTAGTTGTTGCTGAGCAGTGCTGACACCAGGCAAGGGCTTTTCAGCTCCCCCTGCTCTGCCGGGGCCACAAGGAGCTGGGAGGGGGCACAGCCAGAAGAGTTGATCCCAACTGCCCCAAGGGCCATCCCATACCATACGGCGTCATGGGCAGTATGGAAACTGGGGGGGTTGGCCGGGGAGCAGCGATCGCTGCTCGGGGATGGGCTGGGCATCGGTTGGCGGGTGGTGAGCAATTGCATTGGGCATCACTTGCTTTGTGTAG